AAGTTAATATACCTAAAGCTCTATGTGTAGCCCTCCTCAATGATTTCAACTAATAACAGGAATACCAAAACACTCTCAAGCTTTGATATTCTACATCTTAGCAGCAAGAATATCAATTGTTAGAGCCTGGAAATCACCAACTAATAATGAAACATTAGTTAAAACCAAACTGTCATGGATTATGAGTTTGGGAAAATTTGGGACCCTTGGATTCAATATTTTGGTTAATGAATTCTACATTTTGGTTTTCCCGCTGCCTGGAACTTTTTTTTGCCCTTTTATTTTCTTATTTTTTCTTGTTACATTTTCCAGAGAATATAAGATGAAACCTGATTTGCAACTTTTATGTAGAACTTTCTTTTCTCCAGTTTTTATAACTGATGGATAGGAATAGAGTTGCAATAAAACACATAATTAGCATATAAAAGAGGTGTATAGACTGGGATCCATTGTTGCCAGTAGTACTGTGCATTCCAATTCTGTTCCACCTACAATGTATTTTTCTTGTCCTTTTTACAGTAGGTCTTATTTAGAGTGAGAAGACCACAACAGCTTTTTGCAGTTTAAAGAAATTCTAAAGCCTGACAGAGTCCTGAATGTCACAAATAACATTTGGGCAGCCATGTCACAGTGTCCCCTGAGCACTCAACTGTTTACAAACTCTGCAGTTTCACACATTGTCATTTCAGCAGAACTACAATGAAAATAACTTAAACTGATATTAAAGTCACAATGTTTTTAAGCTATTTGATATACTGATTAAATTGCTTACAATGGATGTGGCTTCTTGATGTTTAAATGTTTTAGCTTCCTGCAGAATCAGCTGATCCCCTGAGCACTGATCCTGATATATTGTTTTAGGGTGGGTAATTTTCCTTGCAGGGTCCTATGGAGCTACCATTGTGTGTTGGTAAGCTGTGTGTGTCTCCATAGACACACAGACACAGCAAGGCAAGACACTCCTCTCCTCCCCACTCCTCCATCCTTCCCCCTTATTTCTTTCTTTTCCAAGCTGCATGGATAACTGCTGGAGACTGTTATGTCTCTTTTGGTCTTGTACTGGACAGGAAATTGAGGATAAGCTGAGCTGAAAGATTTGGAACTAGCTGTTCTGAAACTTGCTGACTGTAATAAGTGTTTCAGCAGAATACTTTCCTAGGCAATGTATATTTGTTTGATCTGGATTCATTATTGAAAAATTTTTAAGAGTTTGATACCACTTTAGTAGTACAAAACTAAATTGCAACTAGTTTAACCCCTTCGTGACTGACGACGTACAGTGTACGTCGCCAGCATCGGGGCTGTTTAAACAGACTCCCGGCGACTTTTGCCGCCGGGAGTCTGTTTAAAGTACATGAGCTTCTTCTGCTGCAGAGTTGAACGTTTGGGCCCCAATAGACTTTAATGGGAGCGTCTGAAAAAAAACAAAAATGGGAATAATGCGTGTTTTTCATGCATTCTCTTGTCTAGTAACTAGCTGTTTATTGGCTAAAAATAGTTTTAAAAAATTGTACTTAAAAAGAACTACCTATTTGACACTCCCCCACAACCACCCCGCATCCACCCACCCACAATTAAAGACAGCTGGGCATACCTGTTTATTTCTTAACTTTCTCCTGTCTTGTACACCACATTTTCCACAAGAGGATCTTGTATAGTTAATTTAGGATAAAACTCTGACACTTAAGTCCCCCAGTATAATCTGAAATTGCAGCCATGCTTTTGACCCCTTTGTCTTAAAACCTGAGCAGGGCCTTATCTATTACACCCTGCTCTTGTGCAAAAACAGGATCCTGTTTACATTGGCATGGTGCACTAAGAAACATAGAATAGCAGCAATACTATTATTATTATTATAGCTGAGCTGTAATTCCAGGTCTCAACTGTCACTGACCCTGCAGGCTAACTCTAAACGTTTGGTTCTTACTGAAAAGGGAAGCATATAACAAGAGCTCCTTTGTATTATTACACATATCTATCAGAAGTACGGTTCTGTATTCATGCTGCAAAATTGTTCTAAGCCATGTCACTCTTTTTTGTCTTTAGAAGGCAAAACATTTTATATTGTATACTTTTCTAAAATGAAAATTAATGGTGCACAGGGGAAACAGAGCAATATATTTAAATAAACAATATTAATACATTACATGACAAACTATTTAGATAAGTTGATGAATAACATCTTGCGTTTTGCAAGTCCGTTTGTGTTATGGGAATGTCTCTTTAAGCTTTGTCGGATTAGGGTATTTAAGGACAGGCGGAGAGTATAAAAGTTCACAAATTGATCCAGTGATGAGAAAAGATGTAAGGACAGGCTGGGGAAACGATATCTGGAAAGTTGCCATGCATTATAATGGTGCTCAGAGAAACATAATGGAGAGTGAGGCAGTCTTTGTAGCAAAGAGGATAGAAACTGTACAGTACTGGTTCAGTCTTGGCAGCGCATAAGACAAACAGCATTTAATCTGCAGCCGCACAGACAGCTCATTAAACCTCTTTATTGCAGACCATTTATTAATCACATTCATCTCCCCACCTATAGGCAATAGCTTCACAAGCCAATCAGATGAATAGGGAGGAAGTATACAAAACATGAGCTCATGAGTCTACCTATAAATTAACCCTTGCTGATATGGTAAAAAAAAGTGGTGAGTAGGTGCTGAATATCAGTATTCCCATGTGAAGTTTATAAACCTGAAATTCATATTTGTGACTAAGAGTTGACAATAGTTGCATATAAGGATGCACCGATACCACTTTTTTAAGACCGAGTACGAGTACCGATACTTTTGATCAAGTACTCGCAGATACCAATTACCGATACTTTTTCTTAAAGGGACAGGTCACATTTTTTATAAAGCAATGCAAACTAATGCTTAAGGTCACTTTCTTAATATTATGATTCATGAGATGACGAGGGAGCATGACGCCGGCTTCCCGGCCAATCAGAATGCTGGGCGCTGCGTCATTACACTGCGCCCGGCTTCCTGATTTGCTAGCTTCCTGACCAATTGGGAAGCCGGGCAGCGCGTCATTGTACGCTACCCGGCTTTCATCATCACAAGTGACGAGAGAGCATGGAGCCGTTTCCTGGGCAATCAGGAAACCGGGCAGCATGTAATGATTAACTGCCCGGCTTCCTGATACAGGAAGTACTCGTGCTAGGTATCGGAGTATTTGGGCGAGTACGAGTACTCACCCAAATACTTGGTATCGGCACCGATACCAATACTAGTATCGGTGCATCCCTAGTTGCATATATAATACATACTGTAGTAGAATCCAAATTTGATTCACACAATAAGGTTGGCACTTTGTACTTACATTTTCATGTGTGTTAAGATGCATTTTCATAGTGTATCAATGTGTGACTCGAAGTAAAACCTTTAATTTTGTTTTGGAAAGAGTAGGGAAGGTTAGAAAGTCACATTTTAATTTCTATCTGTTCCCCCATTAAGGTGATTGGTTAGGGTAACAGGTGGCCATAAGGAGGGAATGTAAGAGGAAACCTTTTCAACTTAGAATGGTATCAGGTGGGTATTGTTGCTTGTGTCCCTTTTGTGAGGTTTGCCCTCACTTTATGTCCTGGTAACAGGGCGAGGGGAAATCTCTTTAGAGCAGTTAAAAATAAAAAATAAATTGCCCATTAAAAGTAAAAGAAAAAAACTCATCATCAACCTGGAGAGTCAGACAATCAAAAGAGTCAAATTTCAGAAAGAAAATGTCCTGGCTCTGATGTCTTCACTCCCAGATTTTATAATCCTAACTCCGTTGACCAGGTACACCCAGATCCCCCCAGAAATGCTCCATGCTAGCTTTTCGATAATACCTAATACAGCTCCATCATGGGAGCTATAGGCTTATCTCCCTCCTAAACCTTGATTAGATAAAATTGGCTAACATTTTAACAAATCAAATCTCCCCTCTGTAACCTCAGCTCATACATAAAGAGCAGGTGGGTTTTGTCCCAGGATGCAAAGCCAGAGACAATACCACTCAGATCATTCACCTCATCCCCTGTGTACACAAAATAACCTCACGACTTGCCTCCTCTCTGTCTATGCTGAAACAGCTTTCAGCATAGTCAAATGGAAATTTCTCCACCTCTCACTAGAACAGATACTTGTAGTCCCTAATCTTATCTCCAAAGCTATGTCTCAATATGCCTCTCCCCCTAATAAATGGTTCCTTATCTGATCCATTTACTGTAACGAATGGCACCAGACAGGGCTGCCCCCATGCCCCCTTTTTTCAGGTCCCTCTCTCAAAATCATTTTGCCACATGCTGTCTGTCCTTTATCAGATACTACAGGCAAGATATGATGATATGATGGAATCATTCTCTTTTCATGAAAGTCTGGAATCGATAGTTGGGCCACATCATTTTTCATATTGTGCAAAGTCTAATAGTTTATCTTCTTTAGAAAGCAGGCACAGCTTTAGTAAAAAAAAAAAAGCCTCTCACCTGCCAGCATGCTATAGAAAAGGACTCCTGCTGTATGTGTCGTAGCAGTAGTCTCTGCAGAGGTCTGAACAAACCCCTGTGCTGAATCAGACCTATAGTTCTACATTCTACAAACGCATACTCCCTGCTTTCCAAGAGTTGGAGAGTTATAGCTCACACTTGCAGGGGGCATTTTGGACCTCTTCAGGGAGCCCACTGCTTCCTTATACAGCGTTAGAGCCCTCCTCTGCAGTATTCTTGTCACGGGACAGGCTTTTCTGCTCAGGCTATGGGCTGCTCAGGCTGCTTTCCAAAGAAGAAGAGCTGTAAGATTTTGCATACATTTTGTTTTGATACACTGGGAACGTATTTAGCTCATTTAAACTGGAAGTTCAGTTTGGCTTTAATATTAAGATGCAGTAGTACAGGAGAATGTGATCTTGCAGCTTATACCTTATCTTGGATTTGTCTGGATGGACATAGAAAATTGATTTTATTTTTTAAAACAGCCAGTAAAGGCAGAAATCAGTTTCTTCACAAATAAAAGCCATGAGGCTACAGGTAAAAACTTTGAAAAACATTCTCAAGAACTTCACTTTATATACCTGTAATATATTATGATTTCATGGGAAATGTGGTAGTGCAGTATAGGGAAGAGAGAGTGGCACTTTGGTAGTATTGGAACTTTTTAAAGCAGAATTTTAGAAATAAGGTACATTTTTTCCTATCCACTTTCCCCTTTATCTCGATTCCGTGGGACAGAAATGCTCCGTCCACCCAACCTCTTCCTCTTCTTGCTTTTCAGCACTTTTCCTTTCTTTCCTTTTTCATCCCCGGTTTCTCCTTCCCCCATCCCCATCTCACTCTGACTATCAGAGGATTCATCAATGAAAGCCAAATTTTCACCCCACTCCATGGCTCGTTTCCCAGCATCCTCTGTTCTCAGTGCAGGAGTAAGTGGGGGTGTCTGTGGAATGATAGGGGCACACGTTGGAAGTGTTTGCGGTTCTCCATTTTCCTCCTCTTCTTCTTCTCTCCCACACTCCTCCTCTTCCTCATCATCCATTTCTTCATCATTCTGTTGTTCTGGATCGTGCATAGCCCCTTTTTGACGAATCATTCGTTCTTGAAAGTTGAGGCTTATTCCACGGTGGGGAAGTTTAATATCAGCAGTCATATTTGCTGTCCAGTTTGCTGCATGGGCTGTTAGTCCACCCATCTGAAAGAAAAGGTAAAGATGATCTATGAGTCTTCACTTATTTTTGATGAACAGCCTACAGTACTTCCATATTCTTATACACTCAATATACATGCAAAGAATACTGGTAGCATGGCATAATTCTGTTTTATAATATAAAACTAGAATATACGAGGGTCACCTATATTCGTACAGATTATCTTAAGATGCATCTACAGCCAAAACATTTTTGGACTAGAGTACGGGAGGCTAAAACCCAATAGTGGGAATTTATCAAAACTGGAGCAGACAAAATGTAGAGCAGATGTGCATGGCAACCAATCAAATTCTCTCTTCAGCTTGCTCAGGTAAGATTTGAAAATGAGAGAAAGAGAAGCTGATTGGGTGCAGTGCAAATCTGCTCTAAATTTTGTCTGCTCTAGTTTTGATAAATCCCCCTCAATGTGTTTTATTTATGTATAATAATAATAATAATAATGTAATTTGTGTCGCATTGGTTAGATTTCCCTTCACTTCCTGTCCTGTAGACACAAAAAGAAGCGAGAGGAAATCACTCCTAAATGAGGGAAATACCCTCTCAGACTGTTGTCACTGTAATACGTGTCCCCAAAAAAAGATTTTCTGGTGACAACTCTAAATTTTGGATTTACCTCACTTTCAGTCCCAGTGACAGTGGCCACTGAAACAAATAGAGATGATTAATCTCCCTAATAGGGACACAAAGCACACTAAAAAAAACCTGACAGTGGTTCCAACACCTTGTCACCAATACAAAAACGTTTTGTCTGAAGATACACTTTAAGTGAAGAATAGTGTAACACAAACTGACACTACAGAGAAAGTGACCAAATTTAAATGTTTCTTTGAATTTCACTATGGGCTTAATTTCTTGTTGCCTATAGAAACCAGTTAGTTTCCGTTTTTTAAAACAACTACAAAAATGACAGGAAAATTGACTGAATGCTACAGGCAACAAACATTTTTACCTTTACCATACCTCAGTGGACCAGAACATGGATGGTCCATTAAAAGTTTTGGTACAATTTTTTTCTGATTGTGCTCCAGCACATGTTTTAGGACCCTGAACCAATCAGTTTTTAGCATTTGTATAATTTATAAATGTATTCTCAACATACTGGTATAATTTATTAGAAAATAATAGTATGCTATTTATTCCCAGAGTATTCAGCAATTGCAATACATTTTATGTTATTTCTATATTAATTATGCATTATTATGTTTATATGCCTACTAATTATTATACCCACAAAAGCTTATTATGTGATTTGACATTGCTTTTATTATAATTACTTTATATATTACTTTCCAACAGAACAATATGTTGTTAATGATACTTTTATGCAACATCACACTTGTCTATTTAGTGACATATATCTTATGCATTATTTTTCTTAAAAAGGTTTTTATATCTCCCAAAAAGCATTGACTTCTTTTTTTTGTCACTCCTACTGAAGTTTCCACTTTTGTTCACCATTGGTATCCTGCAGGCCCATCCGAATCTAAAGACACCTAGAGAGCTGTCTAGGGTCCAGCATCCTTTCTCCTTTGGAAGGGTTTATTTGTGTATGTTCTAGGGTTGGATTGCCTCAAAGTCTCCTTGCCAGTATTATGTACTCTAGTGAAGTCAGTAAAAATATTTCTGATTGCAGGAAAAAAATAACAGTATTGCCATAAACAGAAAGAGGCGGAAAATTATTTGAAGAGAAAATCAGTGATAATCTGAAATTCCAACCAAGGTTTTGGATAGAGTGGGGAAGTGGTGTAAACTCTGTAAACATTTTCCTTTACTGTATTGGTATTTGTAAACAGACTGAGTGGGAGAACCATGCATTGTGAGCAACGCATATTAAGTGGATAAAAAGTGTGTGTTATGAAACTCTGCATGTGCAGCTCAGTGTACAGTCTCTGCACTATTCAGTGCCAGGACAAAGTAACTCCCATGGGTGGAAATTATGTTATCCCAGCTTGGCCAAACAGGATGGCCAAAGTGTCCGAACCAGGAAGAAGACTAGGTGAAGATGAAAGAATCAGAGGGGGACCATGGCCATCTCATCGCTGGAGAAGGGCATTCAAAAAGTGAGCGTATCATTATTATTACATAGTATTTATATAGCGCCAACAGTTTGTGCAGCGTTTTACAATATAAGGAAGACGTTACAATACAATTCAAGACAAGATGGTAAGGAGGGCCCTGCCCCTGAGGGCTTACAATCTAAAAGAGGAGGGAGAAATGATACATGAGGAGGTAGCTGTGTGGGGATGAATTGTTTGAGAATGTGATAGTTCAGTGGTCAGGTTGAGGTGGGATAGGCTTCCTTGAAGAGATGAGTCTTTAGGGAACGCCTAAATGCAGTCAAGGTGGGAGATAGACAGACAGGTTGGGGTAAAGAGTTCCAGAGAATGGGAGAGACTCTAGAGAAGTCCTGGAGGCGAGTATGGGAGGAGTGGACAAGGGAGCTGGAAAGCAGGAGGTCAATGGATGAGCGGAGGGGACGGTTAGGGTGATACTTTGAGACAAGGTCTGAGATATATCCGGGGGCGTAGTTGTGGATGGCTTTATGGATGCTCAGCATACTTGCACATCATGGCAAAATCTCATGGGGGCCCACAACCTTCCTATTTGGTTTACTTCTGCTTTAAAATGCACATTACAGCTAGTAGAAGGAATTACTAAACTTTCAAAATCACCAAAAACCTAATAAATAAACCAAAACGCAGCAACATAAAGGCACATAGCTCACAAATGACTACACAGTACACAGTACATTACATTGCATGCAGTCCCTGCCCACCTTCTTTGTAACATGTCATTATCGGTGAAGTTCCACTATCAACTGCTAAGAGCCTAATTCATCCACCTTGCTTATCTCAGTTTATTAAAGCAAGCAATGTGAACTACTGTGCATATCTGGAGAGCCAGAGAAGTGCACTATCTCACAGCAACCAGTTAGATTTAAAGTTTACTGAACTCAAGTCACTAAATGTTGAAGTCTTATTGGTCGCTGTAGGTTAATGCAATTTAATCTTTCCTTTAGTGAAAAAACCTATTTTGCTTCTACTGAAGGAATAGTAGAAGCACATGGTCCAGTGCTATAAGCATTGCTTCTTTAGTTACTATTGTAATGGTAATAATGCGTATATTTGTTATTACAAACACACGGGTTACAAAGCACTTTTTATGAATAAAATAGTAAATGTTTACCTCTGCTCTTGTTTTTCTGGACAAAACTCTCAGCCAGTTCCCAATCATTGTCAAGATGGAAGCAAAGTAGGCAAGGCCAAGCAATATCCAAAACCAGACCAGTGGTTTGTACCATTTGTGCTCCTTACCAGCGCTGTCTCCTGCAAATTGAAATGTGAATTAGAGACACCCTAACTCTGATATAAGGCATCATCTATAAATGTAATATCCTAGATTAGTTGCCTGTTTACTCTTCAATACCCTGAAAAATACAAAGGTGTTCCTTATTCAAATATGTCTTATTCACTATGATGTGCATAAAGTAATAATAAAGAGAAAGGTGTATTAACTCAAGCAACCAATAGATTTTACAATACTGTTTATTTATTGCAGTTGTATTGCAGCTTTTGGGATTTTTTTTTTAGATCCATCATGTTTTTTACATTTCTTTTATGTATAGCTAATATTTGCATGCTGCCCTTTTCTTGTAAAGCAAACGTAAATGAAGCTAAATTCTTTTAGGCTTCTACTGGTAGCACATAGCAGGCACCTCTAGGTGTTTTGTATTGGACTGGTATATGAAATAATCCAGAGTAGCTCCAGGATTTTATTTTCCAATTTAGTACCCCAAGTGATCCGAAACTAAGGGAATCCAGCATATAAAAATCAACTCAACTTTTTTGGTGCAATGTATTGCCCCACCCCTCTCACCTCCTAAGCCTCACTATTGGCCAGTAACTCTTCCAAATAAGTGAGGGGCCAAAAGCAAAGCTTAGCAGATGGAAGGGATTAGTGTAAACCTCTTGACTCCAGACGGTAGGTTGATAGTTATATGCCAAAGGGCCCTCTGATTTGGATTCAGAATCTTATGCTTATCCTTTGCCTGTCCTTTAAATATGTTAATAATAGAATATGTATTTCTCTTCATCCAGTCGGCTGCCTAATATGCCCTGTCAGTGGATTACCTTGCAGAGAGGTAACGTTATGAGCTCTCAACCCTGTCGCTGCCCACTCTCAGTTTGACAGTGGCAGGGCTGAGAGCTCATCCATTTCCTTGGTCCATCCACTTGAGACGGCCTTCTGGAGTTCCGCCAACCAGCCAATGAGAAGAGACATCACCCCTCCCATCCACCGCACGAGGATCTCAGTCTGACTGGGAGGGCGGAGTTTAGCGTCAGAAGCAGATGGAGACGTTGGTACCTGGTCCTGCCTACTCCTGCCCACGAGATGTGGCCCGCACAGCCCTGGTAACTGGCAAGACTCCATAGAGCCCTGTTGAGAGCCTAGAGAGTCCTGCTGAGAGCCTTGAGAGCCCTGTTGAGAGTCTAGAGAGCCCTGTTGAGACCCTACAGAGCCCTGTTTCATACACAGCACTGGTGAGACCCGGTCCCGACCCGCAAAGCATCTGTGAGATGTGGCCCATGCAGCCCTGGTAACTGGCAAGACTCCATAGAGCCCTGTTGAGAGCCTAGAGAGCCCTGCTCAGAGCCTTGAGAGCCCTGCTGAGAGTCTAGAGAGCCCTGTTGACACCCTACAGAGCCCTGTTTTATACAGGGCTCTGTGGGGTCTCACCGGGGTGATAATCCAGACAGCCTCTAGCATCCTCAAAATAGGTTTCTTCTCTCCCCCAAGTAGAGCTGCTCCTACTGTACTTCTGGGTTGCTTGGGAGGCAGGCGCTGCGGGCCACATAGACCTCAGTGCTGTGGTCACATTCACACCACCCTCTCCTCCAGGCCAAGCACAAAGCAAAGGTTCCCGGGCTCCATCTTATAATTGGCCAGGAAGAGAGAAGGATGGGGATGTAATTGTGGCTCTGAGGTCTATCAGGCCCACAGTGCCTGCCTCTCAAGCAGGCCACAAGTACAGCGGGATGCAGCCTGGATGATCGGACCTGTGAACGTCTGTCTAATCCCCACTGTTAATTATATATTTGAATCTGTCCTCCTGCCCAGAGTTTGGCTTTAATAATGCATCATTTTATCCTTCTGTATCTGTTCACAATATTTGCAAAACTAATTTGTGGTTGCTGTAACTAGTACATTTTGCACTTCTACCTATCTCTATCTATTATTAGCAACTATGAAATGGTGCTGTGAACCTGCAGATAATAGATGTCCTAGCTTATTGCATGGTCTAACATGATATACCCTACCACATTCCATTTTCAAAATTCTATCATAATCATGGATTTGTTGTAAAAAGAAAAAAAAAAAAAAATATTTTATGATTGGATCCAATAACCCGTATTTACAATTTATACTTACCATTTAATAGAATGTATATATTATTTATATTATTAATTCATACAAATACATTTCAATCAAATATTTTGTTAGCCTCAGTCAGTTGCTCTAGGAATAAGTGCAAAGATTCAATAATGAATATGTACTGGGATTTTTATGAACATGTTTTTTTTTTTTTAAATATATATGTATATATATATATATTTAAATATGGTCTATACAAATATTTATATATATTTTTTCCACTTTTTGTCACCTGAGGAATTGGCCATTGAGTGCCATGAAATTGGCTCCTGTCTAAATCAGCCCTAGAATGGATGTTAGATAGTGACCTTAGAATGTAAACTCCTTGGGGCAGGCACTGATGTGAATGTGCAGTAGGTACAGTACTACGTAAACTGTTGGTGCTGTATAAATATCTATAATGAATGAAATGCGTTGATGATGTTTTGTTGAGATTACCAATAAAAAGTAAGTAATTTCATGTAGAAGTCCTCGTGTTAGAGCATTTACCCACATAAGCGCCTCAGCATTTGCCTCATTTTGGGGCCACATCTTGCCTACTTTGTCTCAGAGAAATTCTGCTTGCCTCCCATATTGGTGACCACACAGTAAAGAAGGGTAAATCTTCCCAACAGGGACATAGACAACAATAAAACCTGATGAAAACTGAAAAAAAAAAAAACATTTGGCTGAAATTTAAGCAAGTCAAATTATCATATTAGCCTTAAATACCTGACGACCCCCGCCACAAAAACAACAAAAGGCTCTGTTGTGATCATGGTGTTTGTTGGGAACAAAACAGTGATGTGCAAATGAAATAAATGTTTTGGAAACTCTACACTTCACATTGCATCCTGACAGGACTTCCAACATCTGCACGCACCTATTGTACGGTAACACCTGTTGTTTCCTTCTGAGTAAATTGAAGCTACTCACACTTTGTCAAACATTAATCTCTTTCTATTGTTGACAATTTGTTATGGTTTATCTACCCACAACTGCATTATGCCATTGTCATTTTTGCCTCTAGGTTACTCGCATGTTCATTGAAAAAAATGTAAGCTAGTATAATGACTATTATTTTAGTCATCACATAACAAACAGCATGATTTTGTTTCAGCCATATGTACCATGCCATTAACAAGATCATTTCATATTGCTACTGAGTCGGTCTATCTAAAATAATTCCTTGTAAGCAACTTTACATTTTTTGATGGTGGCAGTGGTATAGGAAAAGGGGTCACAGACATTGCAGCTGTTCCTTTGTGACCTTTAGGGCCTGTCTTGCCATATTTTTCAGCCCCTTCATTGGTAGCACAGTAGCACCATTTGTGGTCACTGCAAAGCCACCATTTTCACTGCCCTTGGGTCTGCAGTGATCCAATTATAATTGTAATGCCAACCCTAGGGAGCAAATGGGACCTGCTATCAGACTAGACACCCACTGCAGGGAGCAGATACACCTTCTTTCTTCCTCCATGTCTCTGTGTCATTTCATATATTATAAGATCACATGCGTGATACACAGATAGGGACAGGAGAGGGGGAGACAGGATTCCCTACTCTCTGGTGTGCGATGAATAATTTAAACACAAACAGCCTTGTGATGCATTGGGACTTTAATCCTTATTCATATAAGGCAGTAAAAGGGAAATAATTATGTGAAAAATTCACAGGCATCTCACACCAAAAACAGGGCAATCTTCCAGTAAGGTACCCACGAAGGAGGAGTGCCTGACCAAAAGAGTCCAAAACACTTTAATGCATCTTTGCACAGGTATGGAAGAAATACAGAAAGGACTCCAAGATACAAGTAAGGCTGGGTTCACACCTAGGCGTATTGAATATGCGCGTTTGTCACGCGTTTTTACCGCGATTCGCGGTAAAAAACGTGCGACAAACGCCCGTTTCCGAGGGCTACTTGGCTGTATCCCAATGGAAACATCCGGGAAAGTTTTCTTTATTGACGGCAGCAGAACCGCCGGACAATAGAAAACTGTTTTCTATTTACTTTTTTAAAACTATTTTTCTGTTCTGCTCGGTCCCTCTGAGGGACCGAGCAGAACAGCCGAGCCGAATGACGCTCCGTGGCATTCGGCTATTCAA